TCAAAGGCTGAGCCCAGACAGAGCTCATTTCCTTATTTCTTTACTTACTTGTCTGCCTGCTGCAGAAAATAACATACCTGGGGAAATGAGCCCTTTCTCCCCAGAAGTGATGGGGGAAAACCAGAGAGCGATGCTGGTTTCTTGTGTGCAGTTATGTCGTCTGATCAGTGCAGTTGCAATTGGCCAAATACAGACGTCCACTCTGCCTGGCTCTTGGAGTGCTGGGAAGGGTCAGAACAGCTCCTGCTCCATCCCAGGAAGGGACACTCTCCCCGTTGGCCAGTGAGGAGCATTCTCCAAGGGACACTGGGTAGGGAGGCAGCAAGTCTGGCTGTGTTTCACACATGCACCCACGAGGAGGACATTTCTGGCGGGTCGGCCCAAGGCCTGGTGCCAGTGTTTGCCTGAGTCGGGGGAGCAGGAAGCCGGGACCAGGATGGGAAGAAAGGTGTCCTCTTTCATCAGCGTGTTTTAAAATCATATGTGTGTGTGTGGAAGGTTTTTTTGAGTACATAAGCCATAAAAGAAATGGCCTTGAGCCGGGGTGGGGACACAGGTCTGTAAAGGCACAGCTTCAGCCTGGGCTAGCCAGGGTCCTGATGGGTCGGAGGTTGTCCAACTTCCCTTCTGGCCATGTTACCTCTTTCTTTTGCTCTTGATAGTTACTGATTGAACTTAATGGGGAAGATTTCAAGGCATCTTAACCACCTGGTTTTACTGAATGAAATAAAAACATCAAAGCAGACATTTATATTGGGGGTAATTTAATATTTATATGCTGTTTACTTTATAGCCCAGATTACACGTAATTACAGAGTCTGTGTTTATGGTGCATTAGAAATATGCCAGTCGACTCAAAGTGGTTGCTGCCATGGGCATTATACTGTGGCTTAATTCCTTGGAAACAGTTCTCTGAATTTCTGGTTCATTCCAGGTTTCTAGTTGGTTCAGCACGTGGAATAGTCACTTCATCAATTTCTGAGACTAGCATGAACTACAGGCTGTTTCTTTAAGTTTCAAAATAGTATTAGGCTGGTTTGCTAATACTATCTTTTTGAAAACATCAAATACTTTAAAGAAAATGTACTTGAAAGATAGCTTTCCCAAATAAGCAGTCTCTGTGGCGGTTCCGGGGAGAGTGTTCAGTGTCTGCTCCGTGAATGTGATTATTTTGTGACTAGCACAAGATTCTGAGCTGGGCCTCAGCCCCTCCCCCAAGCCCACCTCAGTGAAAATGGCTCTGGCTGCCAGCAAAGCACGCCAGCTCTGGGCAGAAATAGCAAGTTGGCATCCAGATCATGAAGCCCAAGTAGGAGACATTTGGATCCTGGCTTTGTTTTCTTTCTATTTATTATTTGGTCCAGTGTAGAACGACCGATTAAAAAAATAATTCATGAAGTGTTCATGCTGTAAAATATGATGACATGCAAATGACACAGCATGACATATGGCAGATACACACCGGTCAAATGGTCCTTATGTAAATTGTTTATTTATTTATTTAGAGTTGGAGTCTCACTCTGTTGCCCAGGCTGAAGTGCAAGGGCACCCTCACGGCTACCACAGCCTCGACCTGCTGGGCTTAAACTATCCTTCCACCTCAAACTTCCAAGTAGCTGAAACCACAGCCGTGCGCCACCGCACCCAGCTAATTTTTTGATTTATTGTAGAGACAAGGTCTCACCATGTTGCTCAGGCTGGTCTTGAACACCTGGGCTCAGGCAATCCTCTTGCCTCCACCTCTCAAAGTGCTGGGATGGCAGGTGTAAGTCATTGCGCCCGGCTTTTTGAATCTTTTAAAAAGCATAAAGAACTCTCCGCACTAAGCTGTATGTTCTATTTGAAAAGAGATCGACCCTCAACACTTAGATTTGTCTCCAGTTTATTTCTAGTCGGGTCACTTCTCTAGTTTCTCAATTCAGGGAGGAAATGAATTGTTGGAGGTGGTGAAGTTTCAGCGGGAGCAAAGAGTGATCGTTAGACTGACTGGCAGAGATAGTAAGCCCACAGACTGTCCAGGCAGACACAGGACCCTGAGTCTTGGGTTACAGCTCGATGTAGCTGTTGACTCCCTAAGGCTAGATTATATTTTGCATACTGTTTAAAAATGTTTAAACAAAAAAATTGTGACTTATTTTGGGAAGATTTGTATTCAAGACGAACGTTTTAGATGGCAAGTGGTACCTTCCAAGAAACCTAGAAAAAAATTGGAGTCTGAAGATCCATCCTCCTGTTTCCCAGTGAAGATTTATTATGCTCGAATCAGGACAAGTTGGTTTACTGGGTTGCAGAAAATCCAAAATAGGGTACCTGCATAATCAATGTTTGTATACCTAACCCTGAATCGTACCCCACATCTTTATAATTTAAAAAATCCAAAATAATAATATCCCTAAGTGTAACGTATTGAATGAGTGCCCACTTGGTGCTTGGTTTAGAGTTCAGAGACTTTCGAAGTTTTCCCAGTTATCTCTCATGACAACCCTGTAGGGCAGGCGCTCCTTACCCCATCCCGCAGATGAAGAGACTGAGAATCAGAGAATGCCCCAAATAGCTTAGCCAGTGAGGGGCAGAACTGGCATCCAGACACACTTGTGTGTCTTTGGCTCAAGGTAGGAAAGTGCCTACTTTTCCTCTTGCCAATCCAGGTTGAAGAACATCCTCAGACATCGACTCCCAGATGATACACCTCTCCCTGCCTTCTCCTTCTCAGTACCTTGGTTCTCCAAGTCTCTTCCTTTTTCCTTTGTTGTGTTTTAGCTTGTACCTGAGCCTCTTGTAACCTCAAGCTGCCTGGATCAAAGCATGATTTTGAAATCCTCTGTCCCTGCATGAACCTTTGAGGCAGAGAAGCTTACCCTGTGGACAAGGAGGTGCCCACCCCAGAAGGTCACACACGCCCTTGGATCCTGGGAGGTCGTGGGAGTGGGAGGTTCCCTCCTGTGCTTGCAGAAAGTCTGGGGACACACAGCTCTCCGCTGTGTGCTCAGCAGAGGCACAGCTGTCCCGGGCAGAGCCTGCTGCCCCTGCCACCTCCCTGAAGACCCAGCACCGTCCAGAGATGTTCTCTTCCAATATGTGTCTTTGTTTTCCTGATGGCAAGAGTACGGGATGCTTTTGGCAAAAATTAAATTACGTGTTGCAGAATTATAAAAATGGAAAACACCCCATCCTTCTGCTAACCTTTCCCTCCCCCAGATCAGGCAATTCCTGTTAACAACTTTAAAGAAATTCTCATCGGTGAATCAGTTCTTTCACTGAAAGGCGGTCCATCCTCTCTCCCACCCTCTCTCCGCCCTCCCCCCTTCCTCCCGTCTGTGCCTGTGGTTTAGAACCCTGTGTAGCTGAAGCGCTCAGGGTTAAGGAGGAGGCTGACCTCCAACTCCCCCCTCCCCAGCCCTTTGTGGTGCCCGCCAGGGATGTGCATTTGAAAGACAGGCAGAGTAATTGAAAGGGCCAAAGAAGGTGTCGCTCAGGCAGAATGAGCATGAGCTGATTAGTGAAGCATCTGGGCGAAGTGGCCGCTCTGAGTCGTTCAGGAGTGCAGGCAACTCCGTCCTGTGTGTTGGTTTCGATTTAATTTTTGTCCTGTCAGTCCTGCTTAGTTGACTTCATATACAAATACAGATGAAGAAATTAAAACCTACGAATGTTATGGAAACACGGAATTTTTTTAACTAGCTGGGCATACCTGCTAGCCTCAAGGTCTACAGAGAAGGAAACTGAGGCGCTAAGCAATTTTGTGGGAGTCCTTCTCGCTCTGTGACCCTGAGTGTGTCCGTGGGCTTGCCTGCTGTCTGCATGGTGCCGACTTGCTCCTCTTGGCCACTGCCAGTTCCTTTGAATGACCAGATTCTCTAGAAACCATCACAGGGTACAGAGAAGCAGTGCGGACATGCCAGTGCGTGAGTACCCAACAGGCCACTCGGGGTGGCGGTTGTACAGTCTGACTCTGGAGTCAGACTGGGTGGGTTCAAGTCCTGGTTCTCACACAGTCTCTGTTGCTTTGCAAAAGGTACATGACTCTCTGAAGCTCCACCTCCATCTATGAAGGGGAATAATAGTTTGCTTCCCGCTCTGGGAAGGAGGATGGATTATTGAGATGACAGGTGTACAGTTCTCAGCATCGAGTAAGCATCCATACGTGCTGGTACTTACTATGGATGTCTTTGTAAGCAACAGGCCATACTTCTGATTCTGTATTACAACGTTTTTTAAACTGTTGTGAACACCTATCTATGCACTGTAATTCTGTCACATGATGTGCTATCGTTTATTGAGCACTTACCCTTGTGGTCAGGATTCCCCGCGGAGACATGTGCCTTGCCAACCTTGGAAAGTGGTGTGCCCGAATGTGCAAGGCTAGAGAAATGTCAGGCCTGCAGTTCTGCCTGTAGTTCCGCTGTTGGTCTCAACAGGAACTTAGCATCCTTTTAACAAACTTGTCAAGCTCTTTCCCCTCTTAGGAAACACTCAACCGCTGACCATCTCCAGGAGCACTAGTGGGCAGATTCCTAAGCTTGTAAGCTCATGACATTTCTTACCTGCCTACCCTCGTTTTTGAAAGCACTACCCCTGATGTCCGAGTCCTCATGTCATTTCTGAACACACGTATCCTCATTTTTGAAAACACCACCCCTGATGTCCGAGTCCTCACTTTCTGCCTTGGCGAGTGAGTCAGGGTCTGGATGTTTCACTGGCTTCAGCTTCTGAGTGTCCACATGCCGGGCTCACCTAGAGAAGGAGAAAGTGCCATCCCTACCACAGGCCAACAGAGCAGTGGCAGTGGGGCCCAGAGACCCCTCGCGGCTCCTTGAGGAGAGTGAATGGCCAAGTGCACTCCTCGCCTAAGAGAGATTATCGGCAGGGGGACACGCTGAGAGGGCTGCCTTTGTGCCAAGGGGGGCTGGCCTGGGTCGTCACCAGCCAGGGCTTTGCGGACCCCAGACCTTCCCCTCCATGCCCACAGGGTCTGAGCATCTCTCTCTTTCGCCCCACAGGAGTGTGGCTTCGGCTACGGGGAGGACGCGCAGTGTGTGACGTGCCGGCCACACAGGTTCAAGGCGGACTGGGGCTCCCAGAAGTGCAAGCCGTGCCTGGACTGTGCGCTGGCCAACCGCTTCCAGAGGGCCAACTGCTCGGCCACTGGTGATGCCGTCTGCGGGGACTGCCTGCCAGGGTGAGTGGACACTGGCCTCCCTCGTGGTCATTTCGTGGGGAGCCTCGAGACGGGTGCTCCCTCACACCCTCCGTGTGCGATACACACGGTGAGCCCAGAGGCAGCCGTGGCATGCTCATGGCATCTCGTCTTGGCATCCACCACTGGATTCCCTGTGCCCAGCGTGGGCCACACGTGCATCGGGTGCTGGTTTTAGTAGAATGGATAGGCACACAGACAAAGGCTGAGGGTCGTGACAATCCAGACAGCGTGTAGAAGGACCACTCGGACAGGCGGACACCAGAGCCAGCAGACAACTCCTAGGAGGGCAGCATATAGGGCCAGGGTCATTAGCAGTCAGGGAAGTGCATGTGGCCACTGCACCCACCTGACAGGTGCCCGCCCAGCAGGATACGAGGCCATGCCTTAGCTACCTGGGCTAGGCCAGAGAATAACCAAAGAGCATGGTAGAGACCTCTGCCTGTGTAGCCCTACCCTATATCCTTCTAGGGCTTTAAAATATCTAAATAATAAAGAAGTAAATGATGCAGAAAGAAGACCATTGCCGTGGAAAAAAGACACCCTAAAGCAGACAAGGGCGGGGAGGCAGGCCCACAGGGATGGGCAGGCACATAGCTTCCACTGGGTACTCAGGGCAGGCTGGACTGCAAGGGACAGACTCGAAGGAGATGGGGCACGCAGCCACCCAGAGAAGAGCCGCTGTGGGCGGGGAGCCTGGGGAGAGCGGGGGTGCGCCCGTGTGCATCAGAAACTGCCAAGAGGCGAAGGGAGGGACAGGAGGAGGGTGAGGGGAGTAGACAGAGGGTGGAGTGGGGGAGCCTTACACGGACAGGTGGAAAGGCAGTCCGGCCTGGAAGAGAGGGGGCTGCACCTGGACAGGTGCATGAAGGCCAGGAGGAAGCTTCCAGTCCCGGGTGCTTCTGAGTGACCGCTGGACAGAGATACTTGATGAACAGGCAGCCAGAGGGAGAGTGTGGACACAGAACTGGACTCGGCGAGGTGGCGGTCCGGAAGGCGGGAAGGAGCCCTTTTCCGCTGGGGAAGCAGGAGTGGGACTAGGAACTTGTCCTGGTGACTTAAGGGGATGAGCTCATGTCATGAGCAGAGACAGAAGAGAGAGGAACGAAGCACCGGTGCTGTGGGACCAGGTCTTACGGAGAAGGGATAAATGGCACCACGAGAGCAGTAATGCTTATTACTTACCACACTTACCACGTGCAGGCTCCGGGCTCCGTGCACTCCCTGAATTATTTTCTATAATGTTCACAGTGTTCTAAAAATGAAGAAACTGAGCCTTCTCAGGGTCTAAGGCTATTTAGGCAAGATCATTCGGCTTGAGTGTGGGGAAGCCGAGGCTCACAGCCAGGGAGTCGGGTCTCAGATTCCATGCTCACAGGCGTTGCAGGCAAGGCTCCGACTGGACTTGGCCACAGGATCCCGGAGGTCTTGACCGGAAGTCCCAGGGAGCAGCGTCTCATTGAGACCAGAGGGGAGCCCAAGCCCTGGGCCTGAAGGGCAGAAACAGGATAGGCGGGAGCCTGGTGAGCCAAGCATGGTCCATGCGGAAAGCCCGCACCCGAGACACTGTGAGAACTAGCTGTCTACACCAAACACAAGCGGCAAAAGGAAACATAGCTCTGCTAGGCTCCATCAAAAGTAGAACCTGTGTGCCCAAGGACGCCATCAAGAAAGTGAGAGCTGACCCCAGGATGGGAGGGAATACTGGCAGCTCGGATATCTGCTAAGAGACTATGTTATATAAAACACTTTTAGAACTCAATGATAAAAAGCCAAGGGGTCCAATGAATTAAGTACAAAGGATCTGAACAGACATTTCTCCAAAGAAGACAGGTGCATGGCCAATGAGCAAAGAAGATTCTCAGCACCATTAGCAGTCAGGGAAATGCAAATCCACACACACCACACCCTCCAGATGGCTGAAGGCAGAAAGACAGACGATCACTGATAGTGACAAGAATGTGAAGACACTGAAACCCTCAAACTGTTGGTGGGAATGGAAAAGGGTACAGCCACGTTGGAAAACATGGAGTTACTGTGAGACCCAATAGTCCTACACCAATGTCTATAAGAGAATTGAGAGACTGTCTTCACACAAAAATGTCTACACAAGTCTTCATGGCAGCATCTTACATCATAACCAGAAAACCGAGACAGCCCTGCTATGATATGGATGTGTCTTCCTCAAAATTCAGGTGTTGCCAACGTGATGGAATCAAGAGCTGAGGCCTTAGGAGGTAACTGGGTTGTGATGGCACCACCTCCTGTGAAGGTGTCCCCATGAAGGGGCTCTGCAGAGAGATTGTCTTCCTCTTTTTTTAGTCCTTCCCCCTCTGCCATGTGAGGACATGGCGTTTCTCCCTCCAGAGGATGCAGCAAGGTGGGTCTTGCCCGACGTCAGATCCAGTCGCACTGATCTTGGGCTTCCCAGCCTTGAGAACTGAAAGAAATAACTTTCTGTTCTTCATTCATTACCCAGACTGTGGTAATCTATTACAGCAGCACAGAGCTGACTGAGACGAACCCGAATGTCCATCCACTGATGAATGAATAACCCAGATGGGAATATTTGAGCAATGGAATATTATTAAGCCATCAAAAGGAAGAAATTCTGGCACACGCTACAATGTGGATGAACCCAGAAAACATTTTGCTAGGTGAAAGAAGCCAGGTTCACCTGATTCCATTTGTATGGAGAGCTCAGAATAGACAAATCTATAGAGACAGAAAGTAAATTAGAGGTTGCCTGGGGCTGGGGGCTGGGGAGGGTTGGGAAGAATGGGGAGGGTGACTGCTAAAGGTCTAAGGCTTCTTTTGAGGTGATAAAATGCTCTCAAATTGATTGTGGTGATAGTCACACAACTCTGAATATACTAAAAACCATCAAATCGTACACTGTAAATGGGTGTATTACAGCTCGGTGCTGGTAATCCCAACACTCTGAGAGGCCAAGTTGGGAGGATTGTTTGAGCCCAGGAGTTCAAGACCAATCTGGGCAACAGATACACATACACAGACACACACACAAAATTAACTGAGCGTGGTGGCACACATCTGCAGTCCCAGCTACTTGGGAGGCTGAGGCAAGAGGATCACCTGAGCCCAGGAGGTTGAGGCTATGGTGAGCCATGGCCACTGCACTCCAGCCTGGGCAATAGAATGAGATTCTGACTAAAAAAAAAATTAAGTAGTTACATATATAAATGTATTTTTTTAATGGATGTACTGTATGGTATCTCAATCTTACCTCAACAGATCTGTCCTTTAAAAAAACGGAATGGCCCCTAGTCTCTGCCCTGTGATGGCATCACTACCCAGATTTTGGCTCGTGTGAAGATCTAAGTGAGGAATGTGGCCTGGACAAGCCACACACCTCCGTCGTCCACACACCTGGGTTCCCTGAGCGTGTCTGCACCTCTGCTGTCCTCACCTGGGGCTGGGGAGGAGAGGGGGTCTCAGGGGATGTGCTGAGCCCAGAGAGAGTGGGGAGGCATAACCAAGGGGAGGGGCTTTTGAAGGTGCCTCCAGGGTTTCTACAGGAAGACCCCACTGAGGTGTGCTGCTGGAGGTTCAAGAGCAGACCTGCCCGGATGTGCCACCTACCTCATCTCCTCAGTCGTTGTCTCTGGAGCTGCTCTGTTTCTGCAGTGTTCCTTACTTCTTTGAGTAAACACTCAGATGTGGGAACATTGTAAATGGACAGACATTTGAAGCATGCTCCAGAGTTTCTGTATATGATTCGTTTAACATTCCTTTCTAAGCCAGTGTGAGTGTGAGGCAGGCAATAATTATGCAGTGGCTTTTACCTAGGTTTTCTCAGTGTTACAAAAGTCCTCTTCCTTTTGGAAGAGGTAGCTTGACTACCTTTCTGTGAAGAAGGCAGATAGCTGAAACCCATTTTACAGACTGGAAAACTGAGGCAGAAGGAAATGAGTAAGATGCACATTGCTTCCAGGAAAAATGATGCCAAAGTCAGGCGTAAGGAGGGCATTGCTTTTTCTGGATTGCTGCCTCCTGTGTGCGGCCTCAGCCTCACTCTAGCGAGGCCCTGCTCACGGGCTCAGGCCTGCGGGACACCACCTGTCTTCTTCCCAGTAGCAGGCCAGGTGTGGAAATCGTCTGTCCTGTGCTCACAACTTGGGTGATTCGGGAGAGCCAGTCCCCTTGTTGCCAATGTGTTCAGTGACCACAGGCCAGTCGCTTCACCTGTAAAATGGGCCTGTCATAATAAAGCCAACCTGCATGTAGCATGCCCAGGCCAGAGGAGGCAAGAAGTGCATCGTTGCCAGCAAACAGTTGTGGGGCCAGGGAAAGCCTGGTATAGCTGCTTTGCTGAGTGTGGCCTCCAGTCTCCAGCTTCCTCTGCCGGCCTCCCATTCCCCAATCCATCCCTACTCAGGGGAACCGGAACCCAGCCCTGAAAGGATAGCCTGGCCCTGGCCAGCTCTCTGATGTGTCTAGTGACAATGACAGCCAGCATTTGTTGAGCACTTACCGTGTGCTGAGCACTTTATGCAGGCAAGTTTATGTAATCATCAAAGCCACTCTGTGATGTGTGGGTTAATATCAGCCCCTCTTGACCTAAAAGGAAACAGATCCTCAGAGGACTTGCCCACGTCACTGGCTGCGACATCGAAGGGCGAGACTTCTCACCTGGGCACGTGTCTGACTTCACTGGAAGCTCTTGCCTGGGACTTATGTGGTGGTGCCTGACGTCGAGGACTGCCTGGGTCTGTTCTGTGCCCCTTGCCCAACCCATCTTCACCACCCCCCACCACCCTGTCAGCCCCCTTGCTCCTGAACGGTCTCAGGCCATCTTTTCACCCCTTCTGTTCTCAGTCGCTCCCCAGGAGCCCTGACATCATAGATGAGATCTGGACTCATACCCTGAGGACTCCCCTTGTCATTGGCATCTGTTCAGTGTCAAGTCAGGGACTCTTCTGTGGACTGCTGGGGAACGCGGGCAGTGGACCTACCAACCA